TAATGTTCCAATTTCCATGGTGAAACATTTTAATAGTTTCAATCCATTTCATGGCAAAATTCGTCAGTTTCTAAAAAAATCATACTCAAAATATACCAAACCAGACGAGCTTACCCCGGTTTAGAAACTAGGAAGATACTAGAAGGATTGACTTACAAGGTCACGAGAAGAAGCCATGGAAGTAGAATCTTCTTCATCATCTCTAACTTCTTTATTGGTATTAACAAGAGTAGAGAGAAGATATGAGTTAGTGTCTGCAGTGGAAGAGTTGTTGAAGAAAGCTTTCGTAAGTTCGACGGCGGAAATGCTCCATGATCTCCCTAGAAACTCCATCGTCTCCGTCGGTGTCTCCGGTGGTAACGCCGTCTTCACTTCACGCGCCACCGTAGAAGCTGGTGAACCTTCTTCTTCTATGTTCTCTAGTTTCTTCCATGAATAATTATTCTCTCTTCCCGTATGGCACATCATCACTAACAATTAATTTTCGACAATTAGCGAAATTAATAACAAATTAAGTGTTGCTTATTATGGGAGAAAATAGATTTGAAACTTACATTGATCTAAAGTAGTAGAAGGATTTTGTGTGAAGAGGGTTTTGTGCAAACTTGTCATTTTTGTTGATTGAGATTTTCTGATTTGATTGGAGAAGAATCACTATGTGACTTTGGCTATATATAAAAAAAAATACATGATTGATTCCCTCTTTCTTTTGGTTTTCATACATTTCTACGGAAAGTAATAGCTCCTTTTGAAATTAATATATAAAGAAACATTAATAAATATAGTTTGTGCAAGTTTTTCTGATAATGTTTTTTCTATTAAAATAGAAATTAAATTTTGCTAAGTCATAAATCGAGCTGAATTGTCTCCGCACATGAATTATAAAAACTATGTAAAAAGTCATTTGGCTCCATACTTTGTCTCATATTCTTTTTTTTTTTTTGATAATTTCCATGTCTCATATTCTCACCTATTTTAAATGTTTTTACCCCAAACAATTTCTTATAACTTTTAACGCGACTTGAACATCAACTATTACGATAAACTGAACTTTCCTAAGCATTGACTAGGACGATAATGAAATCAAATGGAGGCACTAGTAGACAAAATAATAAGAACCAATCCCTTAGCTAGTTACATTGCTCTTTATTTTGTTTGTTGTCGTTCGACTTCCTCAAATGGGTCTTGTGGGTTTAAATATAAAATTAAACAAAATGATGGCTTTGCCATTTGTGTTCTAATTATTGCCTTTGTTGGGGGAAAAACAATTCCTTGCTTTTTTTTTTTTTTTTGACGTCCAATTCCTTGCTTTAAGTTCATATATCTTAACTTTCTTTCTTTTTTTTATTAGAAAAAATGAATGTAAACCTTATAAATTTATATGGAATGAGATCATGCTTATTATCATGTATTAGCTTAAATGAAAGAAGGGTTAATTTATATGTGGAAGAATGAAAGTAAGTTGGTGGAGCCATTTTGTGATGATGTTGGACAAAGTGAGCCGATATTAAGGAACTTATTTCTTTCTCCTTTTTGCCTCCCACTCATATTTATACATATCTAACAAGTCGAACCTAAATGATTATCAAATCCATTATTCTGATCGTGGTTTCTACCTAGGAAGAATGAGTGG